ACATTCTCTTTCACATTCAACTAACTTATTTACGTTTTATTTACATCATCCGATTTTAACAAATTTTCACTGAACTAGATTTCAGTATTAATTTATTTGTTTTAATATTTAATTTAATACTATTTTACTAACTTTTTATATACATTTATATTTTTAACCATAAATTTAATTTGTACATGTTTTGCATTGTTTTCACTAACAAAGGTTTCTCGTTATTTTCTTAATAATTTTATTACACATTTAATATGCATTCTAATTTTATAAAAATATTTCATGCTATTCTTATTTTCATAGGCTCTGAAGATGGACTTCCCGAAACAGCGCTGTTAGCCTTACCATGTCTATTGTTTTAAATAAATACGAGTTTAATAAATTCAGACTTGTTGAGCGTTCATTAAAGAAAGTCATTAATGCAAAATGGGCATATATCTTCAACGATGTTTGTATTAAAGAAAACCTCGTTCCGAAATATATATATATATATATATATATATATATATATATATATATATATATATATATCCTAACGATTGGATGAAAATATATTTATTTATTTATTTATTTATTAAGAAATATCACCGCATTATCGCAATGTTGAGTTTGTAACTAAATTTTACAATTCTATCGATATTATTCAATTTATTTAACTTAATAATAATAAAATTTCTAATTATTTTAAACTGCTTTTTTATATACCTTTACAAAAAAGCTTTTTTTCGGTAACCTTTACCATCATCTGTGTAATAGAGTTTTTGGATATTGTTATATGTAGTTCATCTGGTATTTATAGTATTTTTAACAAAGGAATTCTAAGTTCCATTGTTTTTTTCTTTGAGTAATTTCTTTGTTGGTAGGATCGTTACAGCCTGGCCAGAGGCTTTATTAATAGAAAATAGAAACCCTGTAATAAACATCAAACACCAAACTTATGGAAACTTTAAATAAACAAGAGTACAAAAGACTACGCAGTGTTGAGATTCTTATTAAAAAGCTATTAAACGCAGACGGGGCATATAAGTTCAATGAAATATACATATACATACATATATATATATATTTATATATATTTATATATTTATCTATCTATATATATATATATATATATATATATATATAGGTTCTCATTCCGTCAATCCTCAGTCGTCCGTACGTGACATACCCGCTGATGACATTGGCCGTGGTCATAGTCGTTTCTTGGATTTGTGTAGTGGCTCAGAACAGGCCTCGATTTATCTTCTGCACGTTGGTTGCTTGCATTCTTCTGACGGTTGTTGCAAGCACATGCTACTACTTCAAAGATTACAGGCCTTCTGGTTGAATTGTTTATAATATTATATTGCTGTTTTTGTGTTTATGGGTTATTGGCAATGTTTTATTTTTCAGTTTGTTTGTATGTTCGTTTGTTTGTTTGTTTGTTTATTTGTTAGTCCTCTCGAACGCTCATTCATTCGTTCGTTCGTTCAATCGATCGCTTGTGGACTTGTCTAAGTAGCACAAGTTTGATCATTAGCTTGTTGTGTTATATTTTCATTTATTTGTTGGTTAGTTTATTAAATAGCAGATATGTTGTTAGTTATTTGCTTGCATTTCCTTGAAAGGTTCGACTAACAGTGCTGAGTACCAGGATGTTGATTTGGTGAAAAAAAGAATGAACATCATCAATCATTATTGAACGTCAAAAAGATTTATTTACAAATGATGATTAAATGTAGTTTTTTTAATTTATTTAACGACATTTTCATAATGCTTAAGAGTGTTTTTCGATGTTGATCAAACGTAAAACGTGCGCACGTTTTTAAAATTATCCTTTGATGGACAACGTTCTGTATCACATCCAAGAAACAATGCCACTGCCTGCTCACTCTGGTCTGCAGTTCTTAATTTGAACCACCTTATATATTTTTCTATTATTTAATTACATTGTTCAATATTAATTTACATGGGAGAATACAAAAATATTTTTTAATAATTATGTTCAATATAACATACCGGTTTAATTATAAAAAGCCAATTTTATATTATAATTTAATTTTTTATGAGAATCATCTTCAACAAATGAAGATATTTATTTGATATAACTTTTTCAAATTGAAATTAATTTTTTTGCGTAAAATTGTAAATCAACAAATAGTAAAAATTAGGGAGTTAATTAATTTTTATTTTTGTGGTTTTCATTATTGTATCTTGCGTGCGTCGCTATTGGCATCTACATTGAAAAAAACAATATCTAAACACGTATATTCAACCGCCCTAGTGTGCTTACCCCAACCGATTTACCAACTAAATTTTACGTGTTTTTATAATCATTCAGCCAAGTTTTATGTAGCTCATCTATTCTTGTGAAAAATCTATTAAAAAAATATAGGTACTAAATTAAGAATGCAAAGATTTCGAAGATTAGGGTATGCCGAATCTTATACAAAGATCGGCTTTAAACGGATCCTAAATTGACAAACAGCAGATAAAATATTTTGATTGTACACTTGTTAAAACTTCGCAATGCTGGAACAAAGACAATTTCAATGAATAATTTCGATTTGAACTATGAAATTTATAAATTTTTGAGTAGATGCTGTTTTTAAATTTGTTCAATATTTCTAATTTTATTATAATGACCAAGACTAACAATGGTGCCACTTTGGCATTAGACTATAATGACTATAATGAGTCAGTCTGAGAGTAGTAGGCACTTGGTTTAGAACAACACAATTCATTTTAAGTGCAAATGTGAATCTGATTCAAATTCCCCAAAATCTTGAGGTTTTCTACTGACATAAATACAAATTCTAAACATTCTTACACACGCTTCCAAAGCTCTGAAAAATTAATAGCACGGAAACAGCATACAAGAACCCGTGCTAAACGATGCATAACACACAAAGCGATAGTAGAGTGGAGCTTATTTTTTAAGTTTTGAAATATCACCTTCTTACTCCCTAATTTTGCTTGTCCACATGGAGAAAGAATTCAGACAAAATATCAGCTTCTTTTATCGATCTTTACTGGTAGCTCAACTGAACTGAAGTTTTGAATGTATATAAGATTTTAATGCTTTTGCATATAGAAACTGTAGTAGGTGTATATATTACAATTCACTATTAAACTAAACCCTAACGTGATAGGCGGAGAATTTTGTCATATTCTAATCCTGTCACCGCACGAACTGCTAAAGAGGACCAGGCGCCTTTAACCATTAGGCCATCAAAAAACAAAAATTTCAATTTTCGGATCCATCACATTTTTATGTTATATCTGAAAATGCAGTGAACTACAATATATATATATATATATATATATATATATATATACAATTAATTATAAAGATCACTGCGTTTTTGGCATTATTCAACTTGTAGTTGAGTTTCTCAATTTTTCTAACAAGACTTTTATCATCTTGATGAAGTTAATTAAGGTTAAATAAAAAACTTTTAATATTTGTCATTTTTGACAAAACATTATTAATAACGTTATTACTACCGAAAAGCTTTTTTCGGCATCAACTGCCATCATCAGTGTACTTATATAGTATTGTTCCGTCTTTTTGTCTTTGTTTTCACAGCGACTTTGATTGTAACTTAATTAGAATTAAAATAAATCATGTGTTTCTTTGTTGGAATATAGTGAATTGTCTAAATTTGAACGTTGGTTTAATATAATTATATTAATAATAACACGGGTAAATGCACTTATACTATTCTGGGTCCTAAGATTATAACTAACACTAATACGTGGTCCACCGTTTCCATTTCACCATATAAGCTACACTTAGCTTCTCCTGCCACCTTCCATCTAGCAAGATTTGCTCTTGATGGTAGCTGATCATACATGGCTCTTATAATAAACGCCAGTCTTAATGGAGCCATGTTCTACATATCATTATACGTAAAACTACTCTGAAGCTCCCTCTTCCACGTTGTCCACCTGCCTTGTTGATTTTGTTGTACGGCATCACCACTCGATCCATGTCATAATCTTACTTTCTTTCGTTAACAATCATCTGTTTCTTTACTTTGTTCAATGTCTTTGACCACCACGTATTTGAAAACAGTCAACACCATGTTCGGTACTTTGAACGGCTCCCACAATCTCTTTAAACGTTAATGAATCTTCTGCGACTTTCATTTCTTTCTCTGCGTTTTATTTTCTCCCTGTTTTTAACAATGGCTTCATTTTTTTCACACACTCGTGAGCTGAGTTGTTTAACATCCATTGACACCTAATTTTTGCGACCTTGAATTCTTCCACCAGAGACTTCAGAGAGAGTCTTAGTAGCGTGCTTCTACTGTACTTGGCTAACGACGTCAGACCTGGAAGAAGTCCCAACCACATAAGTGTGTACAGGTTGAGTTATCTTTCAAGACTCTCTACTGTGATTAAGTTGATTTCCTAAACTGTAAGAGGCCATAGAAGCTTTGGTACCACCACAAACTGAATCAGCCATACTGTTATAGCCGTCACAAATATATTTCCTAGAGGCTCTAGCGTTGCTACGAACGCATACAGTTCGAGGAGGAACCTTCTGACAGCGAGATATCTAGGACGTTCGAGAAGCATCAGTAAGACGGGTATGTAAAGACATGTGAAATATTGGTTGTGGTTGTTGAATATTTGAAATTGGAAAGCGATTGATTGTTATTGTCAAAAGCGATATTTGATATTTGACTCTGCGTTGTATTTTTATTTATTTGCAATAAACGTTAGTGAATTGTTATTCTGAAAGCGATAGTTTTGTAACGTTAATTTGATAGCTTGTGAACATTAACTTTTATTATATTAACGTTAATTATCGAGTAATTGATTAAAATTGATTATCGAGTAATAAACAAAAAGATAGTCTGAAAGCTATTTCGTGTCACTATTTTTGTGATTAAACGAACTCGTCGTCGTCCGGGACAATTATAACATTGGTGTCAGAAGTGGGATCTTCGGTGGAAAACAAGTGAGCATCGTTGTTGAAAATTTTAATTTTTCTCGTCGACAAGTTATTTTGCAAAAACAACATGACAAAACTACATCAACTTAATTTGGAGCAACTCAAAGAAGAGTTACAAAAACAAATTGTTGCTACCAGTGGAAAGAGAAGAGCATTGATAGCACGCCTAACAAAAGCCCTTGCTAATGAAAACAAGAATCCTGATGAATTCGAGTTTGACGATCAGAATGTAGAATCAAATGCAGTTGTAGACGTTGGGGCTAACACTAAATTGATACTTCGAACAATATCATCAGAAATAAAACAACAATCTACAAAAATTGAACAACAGTCAACAGAAATAAAACAGACGAGAAATCTAATTGATGCAAAAATTAAACAGACGAGAGAACAATTTGATACCCAAATCGAACAACAGTCAGCCGCGATTGATGTTAAAATAAAGCAACGGTTGAGAGAACTCAGAGAACAATTCGATTCCAAAGTTGAACAGCAATTGGCCGTTATCAATGCAAAAATGGAAGAGATCACGTCAAAAATTGAGCAGAAATCCTTTCAAAAAGTTATGGGGCTTGACCAGAAGTTATCTTGCGAAATGACAAAGAAAGTAATAATAATTAAATTTAAAATTTATCAAATTATCAAAAATGTTTAATGTTCTGTTATAATAAAATATTTATTTAATCTCCTACAAATATTTGATGTTGGAAAGCAATTGATTGTTAGTCAAAAGCAATATCTGATATTTGACTCTGGGATCTACTTTTATTTATTTGCGATAAACTTGAGTGAATCGTTATTCGGAATGCGACAGTTTCTGGACGTTAATTTGATAGTTTGTAAACATTAACTAATAAATCATTAGTAAAATTAATTAACGTTGATTATCGAGTAATTGATAAACATTGATTATCGAGTAATTGATAAACATTGATTATCGATTTGTAAAATAAAACGATATTTTTCAAAAAGATTAAACGAACTCGTCGTAGCCCGGAACAGTTATAATAATACATTGAATTTGCCTTGAAGTTCAATTTTGTTGATAATTTTCAAGTATTTTGAACCAGTGTCTTCTAATTTTTCTATTTTATCAACGTCTTTCAGACTAACAGACTACTATCTGCCCAAACACTTTACCGAATTGAATTGCACCACTGGAACGCTTTACCAGAAATTGTGAAATTCGTGTAGAGATTCAGATTTCCTCTAGTCGGTAACAAACTTCTTGATTTTTCCAATTTGAATTTCATTTTGCTCCAACACAGCAACTCATCCAGCTTTTTTAATGCTTGGTGGCAGGTAACCGCAGAGTTTGTCAGCACCGTGGTGTTATCCATGAAAGCCTTTAGTGAAAGCATGTGAACTATCTTTCCATGTGAGACTTTTGCACCACCAGCTGCGTCAAGCAGAATTGCCATAGCCAGTACAAAAAGCGTCAATGATAATGCATAGCTCATGGCTATTCCAACCTTCAAATCCACCCATTTGGTTGTAAATTCTTTTGTTGTGAAACACATCTCGAAACCCTCAAAGTAATTTTTTTAAAATTCCTGTTACCATTTGCCAGGTATATGAAACTTTTCCAGGGCTTTCCACAGCAGGTTATGTGGCACAGCTCCATAGGCATTTGTTAAATCTAGCCTAACTACATGAAAAATCAACCTGTTACTTTTAGCTTTTTGAATCGCCTCACAAATTGTTGCAGTGTGTTAAATACAACCGGGGACTCCTTTCTGCACTCATTATCGATGTATTTGTTCTTGACAAACACATTTATTCGGGCTGCAATGACAGCCCAAAATAATTTATCTTGCACATTTAACAAAAAGATGGGACAAAACTGCGACAGTAAAGTTGAATCTTTTTTTTAGAATAAAAACTCCGTTAGCAATTTGCTAGTCTTCGTGAACAACACCGTGGTTTCAGAATTTGACCAGTAGTTTATATAGAAATTTCATTGCGGTGAGACATCTCTTGTATACCAAATACGATATTGCATGCGGTAGGCAAAGAACTACTCCTTTTTGACAAGATAGTTTCAATTTCCAAAAGGGAGGGAGGTCTTTGATTAAAGTTGTCTCCGGCCTCATTTTAAGTCTTTAACATATTATTTCCTTCCAACATATTATTCATATTAACATATTATAACATATTATTCACCAGCAGTCGTTGAGTAGATTTGTGCATGGTGATCCTTAAGTTCCATTCTTGAAACAATCAATTCCCCAGAATTTGGTTGTTCAAACAATCGTTTCCCAAAGTGGTATGAACTGGCAAAAAAATCTTGTCTAGATTTCCTTTATAGATATTTTTTCGACCGTAACCTTTCTGCTTGACAAAGCTGGCTCACTTTTTTACTCTGATGTCATCTCTCAACTGAGCTAGACCATCACGTTCTTTTCTATTTGACCTTTTTGATAATTTTCTCATATGTCTTTGTTCGCTTTTCAGCTGTTTAATTTCCATCTGCCTTCTTAATATTCTTTCAATAGGTTTGACTAATGTTTCACAAAAACCAAACAGATTAGCACATTTTTCATACAAAAATCAGTGAATGTCCAGTGTAGAATGTCCAGTCAGAAAGCGCCTTGAACTTCCATCCGTTTCAGAAAAAATGGTATGGCCAAAATTGGACGCTGAAATTCCAAGGACCTTTATGGTGAGCTCATCATTCTCTCACTTTTTTGGTTGGAGCTCTGAAAGCAGTAGTTTTAGAAAGATTGAACTGTCAACCCGTTTCCCAAATGATCGTTTTTCAGACCTGACATCTGATTTTCCAAAAGTCATCTGTCTTTCCTGATGTCATCCAATCTTTCCTGAGAGTCAATCGGTCTATCCCGAGCGTCATTGGCTGTAGATATAGAATGTATGTAGGAACTCGAACTTAACGAGCGTTCAGCGAGAGTCTTCAGAGGAAGAATTTTTGTTGAGTTTCCGTCAACAAGTGTTTAGGCCATTAAACTCCCCGACACTCTCGAGAAACAGGGCCATATCCAGTGATTAGTTGGATGTCTCTTGCCGAACAAACAATTTGCCTCGCTTTGAAATCACCTCCTTTTATACTTATATATATTTATATATATTTATATATATATATATTACAGTATTCTATAAATTCTACCAAATGTTTGGCGTTAATATGTTTGTAGTTCGTTTTTTCGATTTTTCTCACTAAAGTTTTTTGGTGAACGTTTAGTTTATTAAAATTCAAAATAAACTTATTTTTCGAATTCAGGCTGCAAATAAGGCCATATTTCGATTCCGATATTTGCGGCATGAATTCGAAAAATAAGTTTATTTTGAATTTTAATAAACTAAACGTTCATTCGGAATCGAAATATGGCCTTATTTGCAACATGAATTCGAAAAATAAGTTTATTTTGAATTTTAATAAACTAAACGTTCATTTGGAATCGAAATATGGCCTTATTTGCAGCATGAATTCGAAAAATAAGTTTATTTTAAATTTTAATAAACTAAACGTTCATTCGGAATCGAAATATGGCCTTATTTGCAGCATGAATTCGAAAAATAAGTTTATTTTGAATTTTAATAAACTAAAGGTTTACCAAAAAACTTTAGTGAGAAAAATCGAAAAAACGAACTACAAACATATTAACGCCAAACATTCGGTAGAATTTAAAGAATATTGTAAAAATTATATATATATATATATATATATATATATATATATATATACATACATATATATGCATGTATGAACTACATTTTATATTTATATATATATATAATATATATATATATAATGTGTAAATGTGTAGCCATACATGTACCTGTACATGCAAAATTTACATTATAGCATGCATTAATATAATTTAAAAACTCAGCCATCACTAGAATACTTCAGCCAAACAAATACAAGTAAAAATATTTCTGCACACATACAAACGAATGTGCCATTGCGTGGATTTCTTTGTGAGGGCGAACTTCTGTGAGCTTTGCTGTTTTTGTGTTTGTGTGTTTGTTTGTTGGTTTGTATGTATGCATGTATGTATGTATCCATGCATACATGCATGCATGCATGTATGTATGTATGTATGTGTATGTATGTATGTATGTATGTATGTATGTATGCTTGTATGCATTTATATATGTATGTATTCTTGCATGTGTGTTTGTCTGTTCATTTAGTTTGCTGTGCATGTTGGTTAGTAATTCACAGCAGGCTATAAAAAATATATAAATGTTACTAGTTGCTAATGTTCAGTGCAGGTAGGTATGTTGTAAAATATTTATATAAGTAATGCTAATTATCAATATATATATATATATATTATATATATATATATGACTGCTCTATTGACAATAGTTTTTACAATGTTGATAAAATATGTGTACGTGAATATGGTATGACTATGACTGTCACTACTGACTTTGTTGTAGTACATAAGTCGTGTGATACTGACTGCTGTTGATGCAGTATGAATTCGCAATTCAGACATTTTATTTAGTTTGCAAAATTATCATTGAGTACTGTATTGCGCTCCTAAGTAACATTACGTTTTAATTACTTTAACTCACTTTCTGATTTAAAAGTTTGTTAATTAACTTTTTTGTATCTATTTTTTATACTTTATAGCTAGAAAGATGAGTTTGAAATCGTTTATTGAGGAAACAGGATCATTTTTTGCAAGGACCAAACAGGTAAAACGTTTTAAAACTGTTTTCCATTTGAAATTTTTGTCAGGGTGGTGCATTAATTATACAGGTGTGTACTCACATTACCAACTTGATCGCCTGCATATGTGTTTGCTGGTGTAAAACTGTAAAGTAAATGTGTAAAGTAAAGTAAAAATGTAAAACTACTGTGATTTTTAATACTTTATTTGAAATTTAATTATTTACTTACATTGTATTGTATTGTAGATTTGTAAAGTACCTCTAGTTATCTTCATTACTCTAACTTAATTACATTTTTCAATAATTACAAAAAAATTAGCTAATTTTTTAAGCTAGGTTTGCTTAATGTACTAGGTTTTGAAAAATGACATCCAAGGGGAAATTTTCATAAAAACAATCGGTAAAACGTGAGATCGTTACCCCTATGGTATCGTCCATGTCTACAAACTATCGCAATGTACTTTTAATAAATTGACTCCGCCCGTGTTGAATTGAAAATAATTTAATTAGGTAAGTTTTTTAAATCATTACTTGTCAAATAGTTGAAATAGTGAACATTAAATAAAAAAAAGTTAAAATATGAGTAAATTTCTGTTTTGATAACAATCAATGGCTTATGGAGTGGTAA